TTAAAATGGTGGAACCCCCGAAAAAGCAGAAACAACCCTATTTATATATGGGAAAAATGACGACAATTCGCCTACCGCAAAACCGGTTAAGAATAGTGACCAATAACACCTTCTCCATTCCTGAGGTGGTACCCGACCTTGAGGACCTCTATCAGAATAAGGTTAGGCTCCAAGAAGCTAGTGACGCCTTCTCCAGCCCCGAGATTGTACCCGACCTTGAGGACCTCCATCAGAACAAGGTTAGGCTACAGAAAGCCAATAACACCTTCTCCAGTCTCGAGGTGGTACCTGACCTCGAGGACCTCTATCAAAACAAGGTTAGGCTCCAAGAAGCCAGTAACACCTTCTCTGGTCCCGAGGTGGTACCCGACCTCGAGGACCCTAATCAAACAGAAGTTAGATTTAAGAAGCCGACGACATCATCGCCAATCCTGAGGTGGTACCTGACCTCGAGGACCTTCATCAAGAAGAAGTTAGGCTCCAGAAAGTCGATGACGCCTTCGCCAGCAGAGGTGGTACCCAACCTCGAGGATCTCCATTCAAGGGAAGGTTAGGCTCCAGAAAGCCAATAACACCTTCTCCAGTCCCGAGGTGGTACCTGACCTTGAGGACCTCCATTAGAACAAGGTTAGGCTCTAAGAAGCCAGTAACACCTTCTCCGGTCCCGAGCTGGTACCCGACCTCGAGGACCCCTATCAAACAGAATTTAGGTTTCAAGAAGCCAGTGACATCATCTCCAGTCCCGAGGTGGTACCCGACCTCGAGGACCTTCATCAGGAAAAAGGTTAGGCTCTAGGAAGCTAATGGCATCATTACGAGACCCGAGGTGGTACCCGACGTAGGGGGTTTTTTGTCAAAAGGGAATCAGGCTCCAAGGAAATAAGCATTTAAACTCCACCCATATGGGCCGCTGGCTACCGTCTGAGATCTGACAAACCCTCTTTCAAGATCTATCTACAGCGCCTTAAGGCTATTTACAGTAAGCCCAAAGTGAGTTTCTAGGTTGTCCGAATTTGAACGAACCTCCGCTCAGGGACTACCCTCGAGAGATCAAAGGCAGTCCTTATCCACAGGCCTCCAAGCAAATTTCTTCTCAAAGGTTACCACTGAGTTTAAGTAACAAATCATGGTTTCAAGGCCCAAAATATTACTTTTATTTATTCGAAGTCAAGGTCCCGGCGACCCGAGTTCCTCGGCCTGATCTAGGTTCAATCCAAGGATCGCAAAAGGTTCCGCGCAAGTCCATATTAATCGACCGAAGGCCAGAATGAATACTCACACTCAGGTTTGATATTGGCAACATCAGATAGAGTCATGCATTCGGAATCTCTGCAAACATAAAAGAATATAGCAAGTATTGAAAACAAATTGGAGAAGTATCTTTGTATTCATAAACATTCGATTACAAAAGCCCACGAGGGGTCCTTACATATGATTACAAAAGCCCACGAGGGGTCCTTACACGAAAATAAAGAAGCAAGAGGGTACATATATAGTGAAAGCCTAGGACCTAGTTTACTCTCAAAGGCTCATCTCCGGTAGTAGCATCTCCGAGCACCACCCCCTCGTGCATGCGTCCTCGACGGTGATACCTTCGACCGCCACCTCCTCTAGGTTCCCAGCTCAATTCCACGGAGCAATATCTCCGAGGGCGAAGATGAAGAAGAGGAAAGAGGGAGACAAAGAAGAGGAAGGTGATGTAGAAGAGGTAGAAAAAAGAGACATAGCCCGCCGAAGTCAAAAGTTGAAGATTCGGCGGGCCTCAACCCTACTCGCACTGCCGTTCCGGGTCCACCTTTTAGGACATCGTGCCGTGCGAGCTTAACGGCCAGTGCGCCATTTTATCCCTTGGGAAAGACCCGAGGGGTGAAGTGCCGCACCAGGCCAGGGTAGGAGAGTGAGCAACAGTGTCTAGTCCGAACACTCTTCTGAGCAGCGGTTAGAGTCCAAATGTTCCCCCAAGTCGGAACAGGCCGACCCCCATTGTCTCGTCACCTCGATCTAATGACGACAACAATAATAGCCGTAACGATAACAACCACAACCACGAGACAGTATAATCTCGCTCGGCACGATAGAGCCTAGGTAAAAGGTCATGGTGTGACTGATAAGAACGCCGCCATAAGACCTTGAGACCAGAGACCCCAAACATGGCGGGTAGAAATGGAGAAGGATAATGAGAATGGGAAGAAAGGAATGGAAAGATGTTTAAAGGCACTTAGATAAAAAGATAGCATGGAAAAGGCCCCATTTATAGGGGATGATAATGTGGCCAACAATGACATCAATGCCTTGAAAGATAGATCGACAGGCGCAATCAATGCGCCATTGGAAACTGGATCGACGGTGGTACGACCGCCTTGAAGAATGAGAATCGGCAGCGTATTGAATGATGCTGAAAAGACAAGTCCATGGGATGTACCGGTTATCGTGAAGGTTTACATCGTAAGTATGATATCATCAGCATGGCATCACTGATGTCTGAAGAGATGGATGTCAGAATCGTTTCTTATCATTCCTCTCTAAGAAACGCGGGGACTATCTGTGTACGGTGAAATTGGAGGGTCCAATTTATCATTATCAAAGCACCTCAGAAGACCATCTCGAAGTCTCGAGGCTACAAGGTTATGATCGAGTCTCCTCCCTCGAGGCTCGTCGGCACTCTGTCTTAGGATAATGTTGACCACGGTCATGGTAGAAACGGGAATTTCCCAAGGCATGCGGCTAGGACTGACAGAGCCTAGAGAGCTACGAGTTACGGTGTCATCTAGTGGTCACATCTCCATATCTTTATAATTAATGCTTGTTGTACTATGATGAGATTTCCCTCATATATAAAGGGGATCCCTATCACTTTGTAAGGGTGGGTCACTTCAGTTTCTCCACACGAAAATATACAAGAACTCTCTATTTCACTCTCTAACATATTCTCTTGATATTGTAGCTTTCATTTATTATCTTCATATTTGTTCATCATTGATTTCTTATCATTGGCCATAAAGGTCCCTCTTTAATTACCTCATAACTGTTAGCCCTACTCCGATTACCCTCAACAGCTCGTGGCCGAGCCCCGGGATCGACCTCGAGGCCCAGAATCGACAAGCCCGAGGTCCCAAGTAACTCGCCTATCGGTTTGGTTATAGCTCTCTCCTTAACTTTATTTCGTCTCTAAATCTCATATACTTAGCATCAACTGCTTAACAAACTAGCATAAAAATAGATCACGTATTTTTAGAGTCTTATCAACAAATTTAATTGTTATTACCATTTTTACGGTAAATAATAACATAATATGATGGCCCAATAAACGAAGAATGGAATGGGCATAACTCTTATAACATGATAAGAAATACACATTGAGCTTAATTCAACTTCAAAGTTAGGTTTATGAAATAAAAATTGCCCAAAATCATAGAAGAAAGACAAATTGTCATATCTACCATTGATACTAACACTCCACCGCGGCACTCTCTTTTCCAACTCATCCGTATATGCAGTCGTTGTAGCCAGGTAAGCAACAACATTTGGACCATCTAAGTTGATATGTTATAATCAAGCAACTTCTTGGTTAAACAAATTTAAGTATGGTGTCACTTAAATAATTTAATTATTCGTCTGCAAATTAAATTAGTGAAGAATATTTTAGTACTAAACTTATGTCGGCGTATAAGACGTTGACTCTATGTGGATATCCGTATATTCAACATTGATTCCATTATTCGACCAAAAAAATCCATCGATTCCATTGTTGAAGAATAAACTATTACCCTTTCTCCTTGCATTTGAAAAAAAAAGTCTTTTTCAGTTCACAAGATTAAGAAAATTATTTTCAACAATTAACACAATAAAATATGCTTATTTTGTTATGATGCTAAGGTATATACCTGAGCAAGCTCATTAATATAATGTTGAATCAAAATAACATGGTGCATGCGGAAGCTAAGAAAATAAAGCTTAGTGGACGATAAATCATACAAGAAAACATATATACTAAAATAGGATACTATAATAGGGTTTGGTCAATTGACCTACATATAAAAACTACTATAAAAAAAGATAAATTTTTTTGAGAGAATAGTCTCTCCTAAATAAAATTCTCTAAAAGGCTACATTGTGGAGGTTGTTGTTGTTGTTGTTGTTGTTGTGCAGAGATACTCAATTTATAGATATCGAAGACTTTTAATTTCCTCTAAGAAAAAGAAAAGGCACACGAAGGAGATTTATTCCTTAGAAGTCTTTTTTCCTTCCCCACGAAAGAGAGTCCTCATAGATTAAAAGTTCAGGGCAGAATCCTAACATTCTATACAATACCATTGCAAATAAAATTTTAAAATATCAAATCAGTTAAATGATAGTAGTAGCTACATGGTTCGTAAAAAATGAGATTAATAATCTATGACAAGTACATACATGTTAAACCAACCAACCGTAGCTTAGGTAAATCCCACATCAACAAAACAAGGAAGAGATGCCGGGTATATGAGTAAACATACCCTAGACTCTAGTAACACATTTTAAAGGGGAGAAATTAAAAAATAGCCAGATTTACAAGTGGTCATTCAAAAATAGCCACGGTTAATTTCAAAAGTAATCGAAATTTAGCCACTTTTCATGTAAAGATAAATCTGAACGAAAACACAATTAAAAATCCGAAAAAATACTCCAGTATAATATACTAGAATTCCAGTATATTATGCTGTAACTTTTCGTGTTGCAGCAAAATAGTGGCTGTTTTTCAATAACTTTGCAAACGTTGGCTATTTTTGAATGACCAGTCCGAAAACTTGCTAGCTCGAGCTATTTTTACATTTTAAAGCCGTGCGAGCCTAGGTCCAAAGCGAATAGTATCACTAGTGGACTGGAATGTTACATAAATACATGCTAGTAGTAATAACTAAAAATACATAGTGTAAATGTTATGTGCTATATATGTCACATTTAGTATAAGTTTAATCCTAGACTCCTCCTATAAATACACGTTCTATGATTGCCACAACACATTCCACCTCTTAGGACCTTCAAAAATATTAATGATGGCCGTTTCTTCTCCTTTGTTTTCTAACTTTGGCGTGTGTTTGGCAGATCCCAAAAACAAGAAACTAAACACTATAGAAGCTCCACTTTCAACAGGTATTCCTGTTCATTATTCATCATCTCAGCCAAGCATCGTACACAGTGAATTCAAGAATTTTGAGGAGATTAATGGTGATAATGATCATTTAGATGGAACAGTGAAGAAGCTTAATCACAATGCAAGCGAACGTGATCGGAGAAAAAAATTTAATAGCTTGTGTTCTTCTCTTCGTTCTTTGCTTCCAGCTACTGATCATACGGTATAATTCTTTCTTTCTTTCTTTTATCCTAATTTTTACGTTCTTCTGATTCCTTTTTACATTTTTCTTTATGTAGTAAAATAATAAATTGATCAAAATACTTTGTGAACTTCGCAAACAATTATAATTTACGAGACTGATATTATCTTCTTAGCAAAATAATAATGTGATCATGAAAACGAATGGTAGACGTAGTTTTCTTATATAAACATCTAGTATTCAGAATTCACTAAGGGGATTAATCCAAATTCGTGCCTCATAGAACCACTATAGGGGAAATGCTCACCACAAGAAATTTTTCATTTTCATAGCTCGAACCTAATACTGCTAACTAAGGGTGAAGGAATCTTATTTCCCACTGTACTCCCTTGTGGTAAAGGAAAAAAAAAGGAAGAAAAGTATTACATAGCTTAGCTACTTGTTTCCCTTGTCAAAAAGGGTAGGGAAATAATTGGAATATCTATTTTTTCCTATCCAATATACCGAAAAAAATGTTGGGTTTTGTGAGGTATGAATAGAAATGAAGAGTTGTTTCCTGCATCACAAGGAAAGACACCTTTTCTTTCCACCCATTCATTGGTTATAAAAAGAGATGTCTTGCCTCATTTTTTCATACGCTAAAAAAAATTTGGAATTTTCTCCCTTTTTTGCGTTGTTTTTCCAAAAACGATCATAAGTATCATGCGTGATTTGTTTCGCCATTTAAGTTCACAGTTCTATAATTTGATGAAATGTTGTTATTACAGAATAATTTTTTTGTTCTATATTGTGAGGAATTAATCCATAATCTTGGTCAATGAGGGGATTAAATTCCTTAGGGACACACAAGCTCGGAATATATTTTTGCATTTTCTGTTCTAAATTCTGTTTTTCTGTTTATGAACACAGTTATACTTACACTTAAAGTTTTAATTTTCACATTTTAACAGAAAAAAATAAGCTTTCCAGTCACAGTAGCAAGAGTGATAAAGTACATACCAGATTTAAAGAAAGAAGTGGGAGGACTGACACAGAAGAAAGAAGACCTTACATTAAGATCCATCCCTAAGAAAGAATATTCTGCTGATTTTAATAATAAGCAAACAATAATTAAAGGAGGAATTCAGAGTTCTTTATCAGTTATCTCAGCAAATCAAGTGGGAAATAGAGAAGTCATTATTCATATATCTATTTTGAAAACCAATAAGAGTTCGTTTGCTGAAGCTGTATCAGAACTAGAAGAGGAAGGACTTCTTCTACTAAATGCATCTTCTTTTGAAACTTTGGGAGATAGAGTTTTCTACAATTTGCATTTTCAGGTATTTATATAAATTTCACTCTCTTTCTTTTCTCCATCTATATGTTTGGGTTGAGTTTAAATTATATATATATACGCTGCCTATGTATATAAGTTAAATTCAAAAGGAAATTGGTACTAGCAATATTTACTCAAGAGTAAACAACCCTATCATACGACATTTACATTGAACACAAATTTAAAAGGGGCTTTGTTCCTTTTCTTAATTTTTCTTACAAATAAATAGTTTACTAATTTTGGTGCAATAAAGTAAAAATTGAGATTCTGGTAGGAAGGCCGGTCACTACATAAGTCGCCATCCGTCCAGGAGAGAAGCTAAGTGGATGCGCCCCTTCACTTAAAAGCGGATAGGGTACTGAGCCGTCGAAGGGGTCAGATCACTCTGGATTACTGAAGAGTCGTCCGACTTCTCGGTGACTGAATAAGAAGTATAGCCAAATCAAGATGAGATGGGACGGCCGTTCAGAGGCCGCAAGATCATTTTTGAAATTATCCAGAAGAAAAGGAGGCACATATCCTATAGGGTCGTTGAGGTTCAAAGATACTACTATAGACCTAGATAATCTCATAAGTATGTCTAGAAATATTTGCTTATGGAAATTGTGCACTTCAGAATATCTATGTTACTATTAATATATGCGCAAACTTTGTTGATCTTTATTTTATTATATTGAACAGGCACAAGGAACTTTACCAATTAACGTTCAAATATTAAGAGACAAGCTCTTATCGTATTATGAGAAGGAAGACAAGTTATTACCACCTTGGATTTCTGGCTCCTTGACAACTTAGAAGCTTCATTGCGAACACATTTTTTTTTTATTATTATTTACGCTGTCATATATGGTGAACATCATAGTATATGTTCAAGAGACAAGTGATGAGTGCAAAACGTATGATAGAAATAAACTCCTACCGCATCATAAATAGTACTACCTCTGTTCTAATTTATGTGAACCTATTTCCTTTTTGGTTTTTTCCAAAAAGAATGACCGTTTTCTAAATTTGGTAACAATTTAGCTTAAACTTATAATTCTACCCTTAATGAGAAGCTTTTATAACCACACAAATACTCTGGCCCTTTTTTGACTTGTTTAATACCACAAATTCCAAAATTCTTCATTTTTCTTAAACTTCATGCTCAGTCAAACAAGTTCACATAAATTAAAACGGAGGGAGTATAAGGTTTCATTCAACGATCTTTTTGATAATATATATATAAACAAATAATAGCTATAGTCCAACTATTTTTCGAATTTCAGGAGTGGAATTTGTTTTCCTTGATCCGTCTTTTTTTCCTGATGGATGATTATTATTTTTCATTGAATGAATTTCCGGCATTTACGTAGATTTGATTATCAATGGTGCTTTTTCAACCTTATAAAAAAAATTAATATTAAATTAAAGTAATGTAGAAGATTAACGGACAAAGCGTCTGTACATGAATGTTATAGTTTAAGTAGTTGTTAGAATTTTTTTTAGATTGAATTGATGTTTAGTATACCGCTTATTTAGCTAGCCTATGATAATTTGCATGAAAATTCAATCCCACAAGGAATAAAATTGCTATCAATTACTAATTTTCGTCTTGGCTAAAGTAGAACTATAAATATACGTTTTTTTCAAACTAAAATAAGAATTAATGGTGATCTTTGAATTAAAACTAACAAGTTAAGAGTTTTACCACAGAAAAAAAGTACGGAACTTGATTTGAGATAAATAATCTATATTTTGCTCCTTGACTAATATTTATAATAGATCATAAATGTTGATTACTCTGCTCGAATATATAAGTCTTCTCTCAATCGACAATAGTTTTAACGGTTGAAAAATGCATTAAGAGTTCAATTGAAGTGCATGTTTATAGGCCAAAGGATTTGAAGATATTGGAGCTTCTTAAAATCCCCAAATTTTTAATGATGCTTCTATCACCGATTCTTTTCTAGAATAAAGGCGTTATAGAAGACTATTTATATAATTAATTCTCTCTCAGAAAATAAATTACGAAAACAATTCAAATGCATAATTGAACTCTAATTATCTCGAATACAATATGGAGTCGATCCCCAAGGATGTATTATCGAACATACACAAAAGGTATTAAATCAAAAAATTAAAGTCTAAATCAAATCATTACCATGTTTCCATAAAGAAAATTACTTCATAATAGAGTTCATGTTGTAAAGCAAGTAAAAGAGAAAACATTACAATCAATTTAAAGAATGAAATTTCTCTCAATTGTTTCTTGGCTTAAAAATTCAATTGAAAGCATTAAAATTGATCTATGCGGCTATTAACTACAAGATAACCTACTATGGATGAGCTCAAGTCATACTTACAGGTCGAAAGGTAATTACAAGAATTTATAAATTATCTCAGGACTAGATATCCCGAAATAAACGCACGTCTATAGCCTGACCACACATNCGATGATCCATCAACCGCGAGAAATGCTCCACTCGGTTTTGTCCCCGCAGCTATTTATGAAGTGGGGAATGGACATTATCGATTCCCTACCATGGGCACCCGGTAAAGATTCATACTATTCATGACCGATTATTTTTTCAAACGGGTCGAGGCTCAAGCATTAGAAAAGGTCTGGGAGAAAGAAGCCATTGACTTCATCTAGGACCACATAATATATCAATTTGGGATACCGGCCGAGGTCATTTGCGATAATGGAAAATAATTCATCTGCAGATCAGTCGTTTGCAATAATGGAAAACAATACATCGGCAGCAAGGTAAATAAATTTTTCGAAGATCACAAAATCAAGAAGATACTATCAACACCTTACCACTATAGTGGGAACGGGTAGGCAGAATCAACAAACAAGACCATACTTCAAAACCTGAAAAAGAGGTTGACTGGTGCGAAAGGGAAATGGAAGGAGATGCTTCCCGAAGTCCTATGGGCATAGGGTACGACTTCAAAATCTAGCACCGGGGCCACTCCATTTTCATTGGCCTACGGAACCGAAGCCTTAATACCAGTCGAGGTAGGAGAACCAAGCCTCAAGTTCCAATATGCGACAGAAGAGCCAAATGGCGAGTCCATAATCATGAGCTTGGAACTATTGGATGAAAGAGGGAAGATCGCCCTAGTCCGGTAGGCCGCCCAGAAATAGCGAATAGAAAGGTATTACAACTGAAGAGCCAACCTCCAATACTTGCAACTCGGGGACTTGGTGTTGAGGAAAGTAACATTACACACTAGGAATACGAATGAGGGGAAGCTGGGACTGAACTGGGAAGGACCATATCGAGTTATCAGAATAACCAACAAAGGCTCGTACCAACACGAAGCGGGAAACAACATGCAACTACCGAACAACTGGAACGTGACACACTTAACGTGGTACTACTGCAAAAGTATGAACTAAATTATTCTTTAATCATGTTATGAATCGTACTAACATTTGCAGGTAAACGGCCAAGGATGGATGTGGTCATTAGCTCTACAAACACGCATCACACTTTTTTTTCCTTGAATTGTTTTTGACCCAAAAAGGGATTTTCGTCAAGGTTTTTGACGAGGCTACAATAAAACATGCTAACCTAGATTCGAAGACTGGTTTCAAATTGGAGTCAATGATCGTCCACTGCATATCAAGAGTATCCAAGCCCTCACGAGTTCGCCCTCGAATACCCTCAGATTAAGGTCTTTAACAAGGAAAAAAAGAAAACTTTGTATGATAAAAACTAAGTCTTGGTGGTTAGGATTCATTATAAGGGCCAAATGGTCATATGAACCGTGCTCACATAGTCCACTCTAGCCATGGTACAAGTTTTTACGCATTTTCGATCGTGTACCTTGCATACTAAGAAATGAAAGAAATTTCCGCTTTTCTATTATGCATTTTTACTTCTTCGATCCCGAATCCTAGAGCCCACTGGCTACTTATACTCGGGGATTATCGATCCCTTGTCACTTGAAGAAAATTCAGACGACCCGAGCTACCGAATCCCGTAGGCACCAATTAGGCGGCGCCCAAATGTAAAAGGCTACGGCCACCCTAAAAACAGCTCAGAGACGTCCAAAGCTCGTAATAAAAAAGAAAGGCCTTTACATAATTCGAAACTGACTAAAAGTTTACCCTCGGCGAAAACATTGTCTAAAAACACTTAAGCATCTTGGGAACCTACGATCTCACCGAGGATCCACATCCACGAGTAGAAAAAGTGGCATAGAAGTCAGGCTTCATTCGAAATTCCAAAAAACAAACACCCCGGAACTACATTTGACTCTATGCTAAGGCACAAAAAACAATACACAAGTAGAAATTGCAATAAGATGCTAGAAAAGTAAAGATACGATATTGCCAAAATGGGAAAAATTTCATGTATATATTCCAAAACATATTTACAAAGGCCCGATAGAACGACATCAAAATAAAAAAATACATAAGGGAAAATACAAAAAAATTGAAAAAGTACTAAGGCATCTACGCTTGGTCATCACCAGGGCCCGACTCATCGCCAGAATTATTGTTGCCCTCAGATCCCTCGGAACCATTGGCATCCTCAGGCTCGTAGAGCTTCTTTTTCTCAGCCTCGAGCCTCCTAGCTTCTTCGATCTCGACTGATAGGTCGAAACCTTGGGCGTGTATTTAGTCTTTGTATTTAAGCGGGTCTCGGCTGCCTCCACGTCAGCCTTGTACTGGGCCACCACTTTCTCAGCATCAGCTGAGGTTATGTCAAATTTGGTCCTTAGTGCCACATGTTCTCTTCCGAGAGCATCCTGTTCAGCAATGGTCGAGCTCAGCTGTGCCCGGAGATTATCATTCACTAAGACCACTTATCAGTTTTGTCCTTCGCCACACGAAGTTATTTCTAGACCGAAGCCAACTCCTCCTTTGTGACTTCCTTCTCCGAGGCCAGCAGGTCCATCTTGTCCTTCCTTACTTTGGTCACAACCCTGACCTTATTGATCTCAGCCCCCAGCTGGTCGATCAGGTCTATCTTCTATTGGACCTGCAAAGTTGTGTTGTTGGTCACCACAACTAGGTGCTCGTTTTTAACTTCAAAGAACTTTACCTTCTTAACAAGGTCGTTGTGTTCCCGCTTCGGGTCAAAGCCTCATTCTGAGCTTTTTCCAGCTTGGCTTGGAGAATCGGGAGATCTTTAAGGGCCTCATCATGTTAATCACTCAAAAGTCTATACATGTCCTTCTTCTAAACCTGCTCTTTGAGCTCGAACTCGAGCTAGTTAATCTCCAAGCGGTACTGGAGGAAGCTATCATGGTGAAACACTAAAGCCTATAAAACAACGAAAGTAGTGAGATACATCAAAGGAAAACCTAAGTGGGATTCATAAAGGGGTACAAAAGTGTTGACACCTTATCTGGTTCAATGCCTGCTGCGCCTCATTGAAAACACTTGACGTGCCCACCTCATTCATATTTGCTTGGTCCTCCTTGGTCACCAGGCATCAGAGGTAGCTGGCTACGCCCACCGGAGTAGACAGGACCCGAGCATCCTCTGAGACTGTGAGAATGACCGTTCTCTTGCACCCAGGGTCCACACTCGGCATGGGAAGTTGCTTCACTAATTTTGGGCTCGAGCTTGGCCCGCCAGATCCAGAGGGCACGTACTTCTTCTGGATCTTCAGGTGACCTAGCCTGAAAACATCATCCAATATGGACATGCCCATGTTATCGAAAAAGGAGTTTATGGGATTATCTGAACCCTGCACTCCTTCACTTGACTTTTCTTTGCCCTCTTGGGCCTCTTTGAGCATGAACTCGGTATATGAGGGCGTCTTTATGATGTCAATGACACCGGTCATCTCTTTCGGAACAGGAGCGGCTTCCTGGGAGGTCGCAACCTCCATCTCCGCCTTAGGTTCCCGAGCCAAAAGGGGATCGACCTCGTGGTTCCCTTTCTCGGTCGTCGCCTGCTCCCTAGTGGGGGTCAATCCATGGGCAACGAAGATGTCATCTTTTCCAGGCTCATACCTGAGCTGGTAAAGATAGTCAAGGTCCAGTGCTATGGACTTGGTATTCTTCTTGGGCCTTTGGGCCCGAGTGGCCGTCCTTTTCTTCCTCTTCCTCTTCCTCTCGGGGTCAGAGGAGCCCGAGGACTTTCTCTTTTTCTTCTTCTCCTCCTTCGTGGCAGCCTCGGGTTATCCCGAGATGGAGGGCTCAGTAGGCAAAGATGGATCCTTGTCCTCATCAAGCGGCCTAAGTTCGATGGTCTTAGGCAGACATGTAAGAAAAAGAAAAGGTTAGCACTATATAAGTTAAGAGTGTGATGGTAACTATTTCAGGGAAGAACCTCACCATGAGATTGGGCCTACCATTTGCCCTTCGAAAGTTTTGTCCCATGCATGCTCGAAGTACGACATCTGCTTATTAATCCCTTCGATCCACTCCTTGAATCGGGGGATTGTATCAAGAACTTGGGTAATAGTTGCATGACCACAAACAGATGATATGAGAAAAAGAACACAAAGGAAGAAATAGCCCGGAAAGACAATACATACGGGATGCGTTCCACTTCTCGTGGAATGGTAGAAACTTGGGGGTGATCAGGTTTCACCCTAATGAACCTCCCCTACCAGCCTCGATCTCGGTCCTCGTCAATGATGGAGAAATTAGCCTTGCTTTCTCGGCCGGACAAGCTTGATCAGTCCCCATTCGGGGACTATATAGGCAGAGTAGGTGGTCGAGGGTGAACCGATGAGACTCGGTATTTTTTGTGAAATGGCGCAAGAGGATCACAATCCTCCAAAAGGATGGGTGAATTTGCCCAAAGTACACCTCGTACCTCTTGCAGAAATCAAGAACTACGGGATCCACAGAGGCGAGCGTGAAGGGGTAAGTGTAAACACTCAGATACCCCTTCACGTGAGTATCTATATAGTCATTGGGTCCGGGGACGACCACGTCCTTACCCTCCCACTTATAGTCTACTCGGGCTACGGGTAGGGTTTCTTTGTTGACAGAGCATATGTATCTCCATGCTCCATCACCTCGGTCTTGTTGGCTAGAGGCCTTCTCGACCTTGAAGTTATCCCCGATAGAGCAGCCTACAGGTATGAAGTTCTTCATGGGGGCTCTAGATCCACCTCGGAAGCGGCCACGTCGGCATCTGCGGCCGGGGGGGAAGATGAAGAGGTAGCCTGCTGAGTCACTGACTTGGAAGTTTTAGCCATTGTGAACTAAGAAAATATCAAAATTTGAAGGGAAGTATGAAGGTTCGAAGGAAAAATATGAAGGTTCAAAGGAAAAATATAAAGATTTGAAGAAAGAGTATGAAGGTTTGAAGGTGGAATGAAGATATGAAGATTTGGGTTGGAAATCCAAGAACAAATATGAAGGTTTGAGGATCAGAGATGAAGATATGAAGGCTCAAGAAGCAGGGTATGAAGATTTGAAATAGTTAAAAGTCGTTAGAAAATTCGAAGGTAAAAGCTAGGATCGGAAAGTGGAAGAAATGCAAAAGGTCGAATTTTTTATTGGGTAAAAATAGTCAATGCAAGACGTTTCACATTCGAATGCAGCCAATCGGTTATTAACACGTGCCCGAAGTTAGAACGACGCAACTGACATGACTTTTTGGCTTATCCGTCACCTCGATTGTAACGTACGAAGGAAGGAACCGGGGTTCATATCGTTTCCCAATGTTTTGGCAAATCTACTCTCTGGAAAATGATGAGACTAATTGTATACGGGTGAAATCGAGGATAATGCACACCCCGATTTTTCGGTGAATCAAACGAAGTAAGAGCATGAATATACGAGATCGAAATCGAAGCTGGGAACTCTATGTATCGAGGCCCATGAAAAGTGAACAGAGTGCTCGCCATCGGACCTGATAAAACGATGTAACCCGAACTCGGGACGAGCTCTGAGACTTCGGAAAGCACAATGAACGGTTATAGGCGACATATAGATGACCATAATATCCGCAACCAATCAGATATTACGGTGCGGATCTTGCTGGATGACGGTTATGGATCAGTAATTAACAAGAGAGGAAGTTTTTTTTTTACCTTTTTAGACTTGTACTAGGGATGAAACTTTCCTACTATAAAGGAAAAGTTTTTCTTTGCTAACACACATTGTAATGCGCAAACCAAGGCAATACAAATTTATTTTTCTACTTTCTAGCTATTGCAAAGTCCTTACTTTGCTGTTTGTTCTTCATTCACAATTGGTTTCGAACCAAGGGTCCGATCAAGGGCAAAACTACTGCTCAACCTAATTCCGATCTGGGCCGTAGTTGGTTTGATTGTTCATTTCGTCTTTAATTCGTTTATCTAACATCCCTGATTATTTGTGTTGAATCAATTCATATATCCTTAAAACTGCGTATAAATTTAATTGTTATCCGTTTTAAGGTAAACACAGTGTCCAGTAAAAAAATTATAACTTTGCATAAAAAGTCCAAATGCTAAACTGTTTAGACTGTTGGAAATTAGACTCGAAGTTCTATAATATTTTTTAAAGAAGCATGATCAAATTATTTGTAAACTAAGAGATACTTATTATCTGTTGAATTTGAGTTATGTGTTTCTCATCAGAATTTGTTGCTCCAGAACTCTAATTCCCAATATCAATTCTTGAATCTTCATTACTTATCGCGATTTGACTTCAAAAGCATGTAATTTAAGTCAAACACCCTCTTTTTGCTATCTTTTGCACATTCTTTGATTTTTCTAACGTTTAAGTTTACAATTTATCTGCACATCACAACGCAAAAATAATATTTTCTAATAATGATATCACTGCAACATTTTCGGCCTTTAGCCACCCCTGAGAAGTGTGGCCTAAACTATCATAAAGTGTGACCTTTGATCAAAGGCTACACTTTTCGACTTTAGGAACGCTTACAGGAGGTGGCCTAAAGTAGCGTAACCTTTTCTCTAAGGCCAAGCTTTTCAAGTGTTGCTTTAGAAGCCACGCTTCAAAAGCGTGGCCTATAAGGTACAACAACCACGCTTCTAGTACCTCACATGGCAACGTTTTTCATTTTCTGAAACTACACTTTAGAAGGGTGGTCTTTATTACCTTATAAGCCACATTTGTGAAGCATAGCCATTTACATGCCAAATATGCCATCCATTTGTCAGCTCTATGGCAGCACTTCTAAAGTGTAATAATTTTTTATGATATTTATGAGCTACAATTTTTTTATGTAATTATATTTATTTCAAGCAACTATATTTTAATGATCTCAAGCACTCAATTAAATAATAAATAATAATAATTTTAATGCATATACTTGCAATAAACTTCAAAAAAGAAACATATTTTGTATTCTACACATACTGATAAAACAATATTTCAGTATGTGCAATAACAACAAACTCTAAAACCGAATGTATTCATAAAGTATCATAATAATAAATATTACAATTGCTCAAAAAGTCTTTATCATTCACTTCAATAGATCAATTAACTTTTGGCCGCCATTTTCAATTGCATCACCCGTATTTTCCTACACATTAAAAATAAAATTTAAAATTAGAAAGAAACCAATAGATAGTATGCAATATCATAATGGATTGAGGTATTTGAAGTGGAAACTGAAATTTAGAACAATTGATTTTAGAGAACAAACAAACATTCACGTTAAAGCTTCAAAAAATTTCTATTGAACTTGAACTTTTTTGAGAAGGTACATGAAAAATTCAAGTTCACATGGCATATAAGACATGTTCTCTCTTGATGTTTTTCTTCTTACTATCAGAGCATTATAAAAATGGGCAAGTAACTAAACATAATTTTTGAAATACATATAAACAGATTAAAATGATGAAAGCTTTACTGGAATGCTAGCACTTAATATCAAAATGGATGGTGGTGCAATTCCAATGATAACATTGAGGCAATTATTTTGACAGTATTCTTAGAGCTCCACCTGCACAGCTAGACTTCGCTAGTAGGCCTATCCCCCCAATAGCACAAATGCAAGAAAATATACCTATTTTAGCTCTCTAATTTGATATAACTGGTGAAATGAAGCTCACCTGAATTTGATATGTTTGAGTTCTCTTTTGCCAGCTGGGAGTACTCTTATAGTGATGAAAACTCTAGGTTGAAAGTTTATCTACAATTGAATGCTCACTATCTATCACATGTAAAATAAAATGACGCTTCTTCACATTAAATATTTAGTGCAACATCTTAAATAATAAAAATACCGAGAGAAAATAAATGGCTACAAATTCTTAATCTGCTCTCTAACACTTACAAGTAGGATTTGTATATTTCAATTAGTTTTATTCAAGACAAGCTACTAATAGAGCTCTAATAATATCAAATATGTAAAAGGAAAAATAAAACAGCTCCATAAAATTTCAATCCCTATGAAGTCAAGATTAATAAGAACGCTTCTGATATAAGTTAAGATCTTTGTACGCTCTTAAATATTACATGTAATTTGAGCATCAAATCCAAATAATGTTGCCTATGTCGTGTTTCCTGAAGTCATAGAAAAAATGAACCACACGAACACATCAGATGCATAAATGTTTTAAAATGAAATAGAACGAAAGCAAACACAATTGAAAAAAAAAAACTTATGAAAAAATAAAAGAAAGAAGAGGTATAAAGTACCTGTACTTTTAACACATGTATTTGGATTCTAGCCACTTCCCGGACACATGCTTCATTTTTCTGAGCACAATTAGATAAAGTTCAATAACTGGTCTTAGACACAATGAGATAACATTACAAATAATTTTACAAAATACACAGATCTCCCTTTTTACTCTTTCCTTGTGAATGAGTTGGAAAGATTAATAGAATATGTTATTATCAAACTAAAACATCAGTAATGTCATCTTCAGTAGCCTGATATCTTGGCATAAACATCATCATGTGAAGATAGATGCACCTTCTAATTGCATTGCAAACATTAATATTCAAGGTGAGAAACTATGGCAAAACACAAAATGCATAATTAAATACAAGAAAATATTTTATGTTCAGCATGAATACCTATACGCTATGCATTTATAGTTCTTTGACAGTCCTTTGAGTTTTTAAAAGAATGAATTGTCTAGAATTAAGTTATTGTAAGTGTTTTTTTGGCCTATGTCTGAAGTAAAGAGAAGCGTGCAAGTACAACAATGCAAGACGCAACCACAATTGCTATGTTTTACAAGTTTCAGGGGTTGCAAGATAAGTTAAGAGGTTTATGCAAGAAAGAAACAAATCTCACCTTGCCTTATCCTCCTCCCCAAATAACCCACAAAAATCAAGCCTACCACCAAGTCCACACTCACAACAGCAATCCTATCAAATTGTATAAAAATTGTCTAAACTCCACGAAACAATTATGAATTGGAGGCTTCGCAAGAATTACATGTGCCTAATCGTCGGGAACAAATTGTAAAAAGTCTTAATTTGAAAAACCTTCAAATTTCACACCAATTCCCGAAACCATCCTTCAAATTGAATTAAGCAATGATTTTAAGCTACCTCTACAACTCAAAACTCCAAAATTCCAGATCTAAATATCGAAATATATAGAGACTACTTCAACACCCGAGAGATCTACGAATGAACACTAAATGAATACATAAAACAATTATTGAAATATAGATCTGAGAACAAAATGAAGATTGGAAACAAAAACAAGCAAAGATTTAGGGATTGGATTTTTTTGAGATTATGGATCCAAATCAGGAAAGGAGTAAGGAGATACGAAGTATCATAATCAAAATCGAAGACGGTAATGTTTCTTACGGTGAAAGAGGTCGAATTGCTCAAGGTAAAGCCACTGCAAATCTAACATGAGCTCCATCGAATACGTTGAAGCATGCCATAGCCGCAACAATAGCCAACGTCGATGACAACATGTCGTCATGGTAGTCCACATCGGAGTCATCGTCGGAATACATTCCACTCTCGTGTCTGAGAGAAAAGGGGGTAGTGGCATTAGTGAGAGCGAGTGATGAGTCTTTTCTTGAGGTTTTAATTTTTAGTGGGAAAGTTGTTAAAATTTAGCGGGCAATTTTTATTGGATAAAATGAAAATTTTAGCGAAAATTTTTGGTGTAAATTTTTTGAGTACCCTTATAACGTGTTGCTTTAGAGTTATAAAAAGAGCATCATTCAAAAGCGTTCCATTACAGGTGTGTAAATGTTGCCAAATATATTATAATATGGCAACAGTTAAAAAGCATAGTATTTATATCTTAAAAGAACGCTTTACAAGCGTTGCCTAAAATTCGTGGCCAAAAACTCTTAGCAATGACCACTCCTTAAAAAGCGTTGCCGTAAGTATTTTTGGCAACACTTTTCGAGGGTTGTCTAAAACTAATGTAGCCTTAGGCCAAATTTGTTGTTGTGTATCACTAAAATTACTTACAAATGACAAATATCATACGAACATAATCAAGTTAAAATACTTTTTTAGTTAACGGAGAATACTATTAACAAAACTTAGTACATTGACTAGAGTTAAACTTCTTGATGTGCACTCCTCACTATGCCATATCTTGTATTCGCGGATATGATGAACGGTATTGATATTTATTGATTCATAAGACTCGATATTTTTGTTGGTAATAGTTTTTTTAAGCGTTCGGAGTTACTTCATGTCATTTCATTTGCACTTTCTTTCTATTCCATTTTGCTCTTACCTCTTAATTTTCTCTTCCTGATTAGGAATACCTACTAGGTAGGGCCCCCATCTCTAGTCCAGTCCCAAAACGGCAAAAACATAATCTATCTTATTTATATAATTCCTCTATCCAAGCTCTATTCCTAACCCCTTTCTCCTATGTACAACTTCTAGTACTTGAATTTACTTTCCTCTTTGACTAGGTTGGATACCATTTGTGTGCCATAGTGCCGCATTTCTTGCCTTCCAAATGAGGTAAGCCAGTGCCATCATAAAGGTTCTGCCAAGTCTCAAGCCACCAATATATGGAGTCTTTATAGATTCCCCATTCGCATACCATAAGAAATTCCTACATATAGCAACAAGAATTAAAATGGAAACCTAGCTAGTATGTGTGTATGTGCGTTAGAACTAAGTTTATCAACTGAACTTTAATTACCTACATAGGATAGATTTCATGATCCCCACCCGTAAGCTGCTTGTCTACGTCCACAGTAGATATTGTTTTGGAGGATATTGGTACCCTGAGATACTGGAGAGGTAGTACTCCTTTATACATTGTGAGTCCATATTAATTAGCGCAAAATATATTAGATTTAGCTGTATTTGTTGATAAACCTGAGGCATTGAAAAATGTCTGTAGGTCTCGGAGTATGAGTAGAATTGACTGGAATTCTCCTTTACAAAATAACAGAACATCATCAACATAACGTAGATGATGAAGTTTTAACCCTTTGCATTTCAAGCCTTCTTGATTTGCCACTAGCTTCCTTACCCTTGTGAAGTACTCCATACAAATAACTCATAATAGTATATTTCCCTGTCTCAATCCCCTTTTCTTTCAATACATCCATATATTCTTCCATTTAATGCAATTTTGTACTGAGGAATTAAATACAATTCCCGATTCACTTGATAAATTTTTGGCGGGAAGTTCAAAGAATGCATCATTTCTCCCACAAATTCCCATTCTTCTTAAGGTCCCTCTTTATCAAAAACTCTCTGTTGTCCTCTTTCTGTTTTATAGTCTCACGAGAAATACCAACTTTAATCTGCTACAAATTACTTTTAATACTCCCTCCGTTTCAATTTATGTGTACCCATTTGACTGGGCACGGAGTTTAAGAAAAGAGAGAAGACTTTTGAACTTGTGGTGTAAAATGAGGCACATATATTTTGTGTGGCTATAAATCATTGCATAAAGGTAAATTGTTTCTAAATAAGGAAAAATGTCATTCTTTTTGGCACGAACCAAAAAGGAAATAGGTTCACATAAATTGAAACGAAGGGAATATTATTTTGTACGTAGTATCACAACACGTTATAGGCCTATAATCACCAACATTCACTGCACGTGTACTTTTGGGAATAAGGGTCATTACTGTCTTGTTTGTAACTATAAGCAACTTGTTGGAAGTAAAGGACTTCACAATCCCTTCTGTTAGAGCTTTTCCAATAATACTCCAGCCATCTTCGAAGAAGTGAGTGCTATATCTACCGGGCCCATGGGATTTATTACTCGTAATTGCCTATAATGTATGCTTCACTTCATTAGATGTGATGTCAGCTTCTAAGATGAAACTATGCTCCTTAGTTACAACTGATCTTCTTCTGACCAAACTAGGTTTACCCTCACCTTTACGGGTGGCAAACGGCGGGTCGGGTCGGATATGAGCGGGTCAAAACGGGTAATTTTAAAAAACGGATAAATTATCCGACCCAACCCGTATTTGAGACGGATAAAAACGGGTTTATCCGGCAGATAATATGGTAACCATATTATCCATGGCTTGTTAAATATGATCACTTATGAGAGAATTTCTAGTCTTCCAAACTTGAGAGAGAGTTTTCTTTTCTTTGCATTTCTTCACCTTGTTCTTCTACTTCATATTGGATGTATGCATTATTATGGGTTTATCTAAAAAGATTAGTTTCATAATCTGTTATAGTTCATTTCATGAACGGCTAAGTTATGAATGTGTTGATTATGGGTAAAGAAAGCTATGAATAAAAGGAGAAGACGGGGAAAAGAAGAAGAGAAAACTACTCAATATACCTACTTTGGCCTAAAATATTACCCGATTTTACTTATTTCGAAACAAACTTATAAAAATACCTATCCCACCAAAATTCATTATCCATATAACCACTCCCTTAAATCATGGCTATTCATTATCTTCTCTAATCTCTTTGCCGTTATCTTCTCCATTTTCATTGCTAAATCATTGTAATGACCCGACCGATTATTTTGAGCATTTATATTTTGCTCGGTAGTTCGAGGGCATGAGTAGCTTCGTATGATATATAAGATTTTTGTGAATCATCGGTTTTGGATTTCGGGTGATTCGTGATTGATTTGGAAGAATGATCCTCATTTTAGAAGCTTTAAGTCGAAAGAGTTTACCAAGTTTGACTTTTATGTATTTGACTTCGGATCAAAGTTTTGATAGTTCCGTTAGGTCTGTATGGTGGTTTTGGACTTGGGCATATGCCCGGATTTACATTTGGATGTTTATAGAAGGTTTTGGCGCTAATTGGCGAAAATTGGCAATTTGAAGATTAGGAAAGTTCAAAGGCTTGACCGAGAGTTGACTTTGATGATATCAGATTCGAATTATTGTATTGGGAGTTAGAATAGGTTTTTTATGCCATTTGGAACTTGTGTGCAAAATTTGAGATCATTCTGAATTGATTTGATATGGCTCGACATGAGTTTTAGACGTTAAAAGTTTAAAAGTTCATTAAGTTCGATTTGAGGTGCGATTCATGATTTTGTTATTTTTATGTGTGATTTGAGGCCTCGAGAAAGTTTGTGTTATATTTTAGGAATTATTGGCATGTTCGAATGGGGTCCCGAGGGGCTCGGGTGAGTTTCGGACATGGTTCAGATCATTTTGGAACATGTTGGTTGAGGCTGGTTTTGGCAGAATTTTGGTGTGATCACTCGCACCTGCAGTTGTGTGGGCACAGGTGTGGAGGTGTAGAAGCGGCAGAGGTAGCACAGAAGCACATTTTGGTCAAGGTCAGGTTGGTCCATAAATGCAAAACATCTAGCGAAGGTGCGATGGGCGCAGATGCGAGACTAGAGCGCACCTGCGGAAACGCAGATGCAGATTTTGGTGGGAAGGCAGTCTGCGGAGGAACTTTGCAGAAGCGGATATTCCTTGCACCTATGATGTCGTAGAAGTGGAATTTAGTTCTCAGGTATGAGAGGTCAATTTTTAGTGGTCTCCGTAGAAGAGGGATATTTGTCGCAGAAGGGACACCGCAGTAGCGGCAGGTGGTCCGCAAATACGGAAATCTTTGAGCAGAAGCTATATATCGAGGTTTTGGTTTATTTTTATCCCAACTTGAGATTTGGAGCTCTATCTTGGTATATTTTGGAGAGAATTTTTACCACATGGATTGGGGTAAGTATTTCTCCTTAATTTTAATTATATTCCATGATTCCATCTTTAATTTTGGCATTGGATTGATGATTTTGAAAGAGAATTTGAGGTTTTTGTCTAAACTTTTCTAGAGGGAATTATTGAGTTTTAAACATCAATTCAGAGTTGGATTTGAGTGAAATTATTATGGTTGGACTAGTAATCGAATGGATTGTCGGAATTTATGAATTTTGTCGGATTCCAAGGTGTGGGTCCGGGTTGACCTTTTGGTTGACTTTGAGTATTTGATAAAAGATTTGACCTTTATTGCTTGGATTTATTTTTTATGGCATTATTTGATATTTTTGAGTTGCTTTTGGCTAGTTTCGAGCCGTTCAGAGGTCGATTCATGCAGGATGACATTTTTAGGGTATTGTTTGGCTTGCTCGGCAGTTGATTTGGCTTGTTCGAGGTAAGTAACATGTCTAAGCTTGGATTTGAGGGTAATCATCCCCAGAAACCATGTTATATGAGACGCATTTGGGTGGCGCACATGCTAGGTGACGGGCATGTGGGCATGCACTAGAATAAATATGATCCAAATTGACTTTTAGACTATTACCGGACTTGTATTGCTATCATACCTTGTTATCCATGTTTCCCTACTTGTTTTATTATCTAAGTTGTTATTCATGTTAGAAACCATGTTTAGGCTATGTGCCTATTTGGTGTTGAGACCTAATAAAGCTATTTATGTTGTTTTAAGCTATTTGACTTAACTGTGGTTATACACTCAGTCATGATTCTTCATTTGCATATTATATCTTAGTTTTCGTTAATTTTTTGATTTTACATTACACGTTGTTGTTGTTGTTGTTGTTGTTGTTATTTTTCATATGTGGTACTCTTTGGTTAAGTGATATGAGATTATGAGCCCTCGAGACTTGAGAGGTTGATGACTGATGTGGGCCTTAGAGCTGTATTAAGAGTGATAATTGGAT